GTTCTATAATCATATTGCATAAGTTGCTGTGATCACAATTCCACTAAACTGATTTATCAACATATCTTCATGTTAAATACAATAACACATTGTCATGCTGAAACATGAGGCTCGTTGACAGTTGTAACTTGTAAAATAGATTTGTAACAATAAAAGATAAATAGTATATCTAAGGGACAATTTCAGTTGCTGCTGAACTTAGAGAAACAAGATGGTAAAAACTACCTCGTAACAGATGACTATCCATAACATTTGCTTAAAAAATACATAATATCCCGCTGAAGTAAAACAAGCAAATCAGAAAAGGAAACACAACAATGGAGCTATAAGATATATATGGTGAATGGATCTAGAAACATAAATTTACATATAACAATAATTAAACAAGAGAAGTTATAACAAAAGCATTGCAAGAACTAATACGAAGATGATGCAGCTGCTGTTAGAATATTTTTTTTAATTTTCTTTTATTGCTTGTTGGGTCCTGTTACAACATATTACCAGTGCAGAATGGAACACTAGATACAGAGCCCTCAAACTTTGCCTCAGTTGAATTCTCACCCAATTGCAATTATCTTTCAACAATCCAACACAACATTGGTATATCTTTAACACATAAGGGATCACAGAATATTATGTGATATTCTATAATTTAAGCTAGAATATGCTACAGTGTGGGGGAACTTTGTATTTGCAGGTTGCTACAACTCTCAACTATGAAAATGGATTACTTCCTAAACAGTGGATGCAGGCTTACTGTCTGAAACAGCTAAGTCCTATATAATGTGCTATTACTCTTCTCTTACCACCACCCATTGTGAGTCATAGATTTGATGCCTTGCCTTCAGCATTAATCAGTAACAGAAGTGATCGTTCTCAATTTACATAAGCAATATCTTGCAAGTTAATTGTTAGAAAACAATTTTGGGAATATTTCTGATATAGGAAACATGATCCTCAAATACTACATAGGAAAAGAAGGTTATACACTGCCAGAAAGAATTCAAGGCAACAAGTTCATAGTCTTTCGCTTTATGAGGTTTCTCCTTAGTTTTATGTTAATGAAGCTTTCATTCCATTTTCAAGATAAAGCACACAAATAAAAAGAAAAACTTTTTGATTATAAGAATGCCAGATCTTGTAGAAATTTTAAAATTGATGATGTTAATTGCAACTCTAAGCAAAAAAAGAAGAAATCAGCCCTAACATATGCTAAATTTATCTTAAAAAATCAAACAACCATCACAGAAAAAAGAAACTGCTTTCATAACTCTGCAAATTTGATATACAATTGGTTAAAAGACAATACTAATCTAACAGATTGGTAGATAATGATGACACCAAAGTTTCAACTAATTGTGTATCCAGTGGCAGTAAATTGTAAACTTATTAAAATACAATCATGAGTCTGTGCATCTAATCCACTAGCAGTACTCATATGCGCTTGTCACATAATTATGTCCACAACAAATGATCATGGTCATATATATAAGACACTCATGCTGATAAGATAGATCCATCTCCATTATATTTCTACATGCAAAGCAGTCTTTAAATGACATGAGAGAAAATACGAAGCAAAGGAAAACAGACCAGATCAAACTGTTCGTCCAGAAGGCGACGCACTCTTGGCTTCTCATCACTTCTTAAAACACGTTTCACATTCTGCTCCGGTTCAGCTGCTGCATCCTCCTGCTCCTGCTGCTGCAAAAGGCCATCTTTTACCACACCAACCTCTTCAGCTCTGCCAGCCTTATCATCACGTCCATAAACCACCTCTTCTCCCTCTTGCTCTACTTCATCAGTTTTTTCCTCATCTCCTTCAGGAAGGTTTGCCTTGACCACAAAGTCCTCCTCCAAGTCCTCGACATCTGATCCAAACCGCGAAAGATCACTGTCATCCAGCAACCTCAGTACATCAGGATCCACCGCCTTCTGGACCTTGACCGCCCTTGTATTCAAAGCAACAGCATGCACCATTTCCCTATCAGTGTCATCCCTAACCTCAGAATCGATCCGAAGCCTTGAAGCATCATAAGCCTAGGAGACAACAGAAAGTATATTACAAAAAAAATCAGCAAAAATAGCATTTTTTGCAACACTGGACAAATTGATCGATTTTGCAGTGCAGGAAAGGATTCTCAAAGATGCATTGGTTACTAAGAGCTGAATCGATCACTTCTCATTAAAAAAAAAATTGATTACACGGACCTTGACATCGAGCTGCAATCGATCAAGTTTCGCCTTGGGGTTGTGGAAGTAGGAGGAGCCGCCACCGGCGTTCTTGATCTCGCGTAGGTGGACGAGATAGTTATAGCCGTCGTCGGGGAGGCCCAGCTCCAGGATCTCGTTCCTCATGCGGTCCGGCAATAGCCCTTCCTTCCCGAACCGAGTCGCACGAGCGCTGACCCTTGGCGGCGGGCTGCTCACGAACACCTCCTCCTCGTCGGTGTCGCCAGGGGCGTCGGCGAAGATGGACTTGGGATCGTCGTCAGGATCACAGCGACCGCGGCCGTAGTCATCGTCGTCGTCACCGAGGAAATCGGGGCAGGGGAAAGGGTTGTTGTCGACCCTGACGAAGACACGGTCGGTGGTCGGCTCGCCGTCGGCGGAAGAGGAGGCGGGACACGAGGCGGTGTCGCGGGCGAGGAGGTGGAAGGTGGCGGACTTCTTCTTGTCGATGAACTTCTTTTTCTTCCCCATATCAACACGGAGGGAACGGAGCGAGCGCGGGCCGAAGAGGCGCGGGCAAAGGTTGCAGCGGCGGCGGGGAACAGACTCTTCCTCACGGAAAAGGTTGTTACGAAGTTGTAGGGTTTTAAGAGAGTCTGGGCCGGATCGGAGGGGGCGTGAGTGTCTCTCTTAGGTGATCGGCCCATGCCCCGACCCATTTTATAGGGTCCATTGCCGTGTTACCTACGTAACTCTATCATTGTTATGGACCAGCGCAACCAAGCAAACTGTTATGAAGCTAAGAATGAATATTTTATATTTATATAAAAGGTAATGTATGCTTATTATAAGTAACTAAAGTAATTTATTTTTTTCATATATCTTTTATGATTTTTTTCGAAGGATAAGCGGTGATGATAAGATTTGAATCAAGATATACTATCAAAGCTTTCATCGATCAAACTAATTGACACATTCAAAAATATATCAACTAAGATTTTGAGCTCTTGAGTAATACATCACCAATATTTAAGATATATTTTATTATTATTATTATTATTATTTACAAGACGAAGAATCAAGTGAATTTTCAAGCAAGGTCTCTCTTTTATTGATTCCAGGATTTTAATGATGAAATTAATTGATGAATTTATGGACTAATAAATATTTGAGATAAGTGATCCGAAAAAAACTTCGATTAATAACTTGAACCATCGAAAGGTAAATCGTTGAAACAGAAGAATCATACGTTGGGCCGGAAAAGCATTATGTCAGAGATTTGACATCGAACTGAAGAATTGATCGACATGTTGAAGGATGAACTTTGTGTTATGAGTTCGAGCAGCTAGCTAGAAGAATCGAATATTACGTCAAAAAGATCAAATGTTATGGGAGTTTAACATGTCAATAGATCGGATAATATGTTGAAGGAAATGTCGATACGTCGTGGGTTAGGATGAAGTATCGGATGAGTAGATGATATGTCGGACAAAGTGCTGAAGGCTTCATGAGTGTTTAAGTCTTGATTGAAGTGGCATAGAGTAGAATTGAGTTGGTTTTATGTCATAACTATGCTGACTTAATTAGAAGTCGGGGTTAAACTAAAACTAAATTGGGCCTATTGAAAGTTCAATTCAATGACTTTGGGTTTAGATTGGATTGAGGTACCATCTAAGCAAGTAATAGTATCGTCAGAGTCTAGGTTCTCAGACTCTGTATAGGATGTTAGTGCAACCAGATGATAATAATTTTTGGTTCACTCGAGCCGGCTTGCATGAACAAGACCAAGAACGTTTATTTGGAGCGGAGCCCAACCCAAGTCAAGATCGGTCTAATCTCGGACGCAACCCAAAAGAGGGAGGAAAAGCACGAACTGAATCGACGCCAACAACAATGTTTCGGAAGTCGAAACTCGAAAGAAAGAGAAGGCTGCAGTCATTTGATCAGTTTGTGCTGCTGCATCAAATCGAAGGACTTCAAGAAGGGTAATTTGCGGCCATATGAAGAAGATTGGCTATCGCTATTGCCGCATCTTTGTGAGGGTATCTTAGTTCTTCTTCGATCCAACATCACTTTGATCATATGATTAGCTTACACGTACAGCAATGCACATCGAGTTTACCATGTCGAGGATCGGAAGCTAAAATCTGGGGAAGGGACTTCTTTTCTGGTTCTTGGAAAAAGAAAGTAACGAAGCTGACCACCATTCCTTTTTCTTTCCATCTTTTTCTTCTCGTGAATTGGTAACTACAGAACGCATGCATGCCGAAAAAGGTGAGAGAAAGAAAGAAAAAGAGAAAGTAAATATCCATATGCCTTTTCCATCTCCACCACAAAGGAATCAGCACCGAGATAAGTCCATCAAAGAGAGTCCCACTCACAGATAGAGACTCGATAGCAGTAGGTCTATCTATGAATCCTACCAAATTATCCATCCAAATCCTTAGCTTTCAGAGAAAGATGGGGTTTAAGATGATGATCAGAGGTAAAGTTGACAAACATGCATTAAAGATAGCATTAATTAGGCAGCAACTTTTGCGCAGGTCCAAACTTTTCTTCTCGGAAGCCTCCCAGTTGGAAATACTCGGTGCCCATCAGACGAGAGCAAGAAATTGACAACCAGAAATCATGTCTTCAGAATTATGTGCAGTGTGCAGCAGCCTTCGTGGACGTCCATGTTGTCTGCTGCAGAAGTTGATGGGGTTTTGCTTCTCTGAGAGCTACCGGCTTCAAGCCATAACTAGTTAATCTTGAGGAGGACGAAAGAAGAACCAGCAGCAAACTGAAACTACAAATCGAGGGAATGCAAGACCATGAAAGCAAGACCGTTGAAGAACACAGCGAAAAGACTCCCAACTACGAACATGTACACGGATGAAGAGGGCTGATGAAGTTGCTGCAACATCAGCCCTGTATGAATGAGAAAAAGTATATGACTATGGAGGATTTATTGTTCGACCTTTGTTTCTTATCACAACCTAAACTTATTCGAATCCCGCAGACACAGACTGGAAATCTTTGCCGCTTGTGTCTGAAGGAGGTAATTGCGGCTGGAGCTGCTGCGTCTGGTGCCAGGTGCTGAAACCATGGAAGGTGAATTGGCCTCCCGACTTGATTTTGTCGCCAAACAGAGGTTGGCTTTGCGTCGGCATCGCTGAGGACACCGGGAATGCGCCGTGGAGGTACTCCGACCATCTGAGGTCCTCGGCCTCGCCTCCGAGCTGGACTTGCACGTCTTTGTCGGGCGTCAGTTCCGACCAGGGGAAGATGCCGCTGTCATAAGAGCAGCTGCTTTGCAGCATGACTCCGCCGCTGTCATTTACTGCGCTGCTCCGACGACTATTGCTGCAATTGCCGGAGTACCAATTCGAGACACTGTCATCTCCCTCGCAGATCGGTGGGTCAACCGCCAAAGTGGACAGAATGTAGGGCATCGCATTGCAGCTCAACCCAGGATTGGCATCGAGCTGCCGTGCGGTCTGGTTGGACCAGAGGAGCGGCTTCGAGCAGATGGGCGGAGCGGCCGAAGTGGTCTGACCGCTGGTGTAGTCAGGAGCAAAGCTCAACAGCGGAAGCGAGAAATAGCTGGTTGGCTTGGAGGAGCGGCAGGTCGATGGGCTCTCATGGGTGGCGAGCAACTGATCCAAAAGGAATTCTTTGGTTGGCGTCGATGAACTCTTTGAGGCTGTGCTCTCGTCCACGGATTTGCCCACATGCATCGTGAGCTTAGCGTTTGCCGGGATTTGGAGTCCGCTGGAGCCGGAGTTGTTCTTTTCGCTATTGATGGGGAATTTGTCGTCACTACCATCGACCTCCGCAAGCGGCTCGTGGGTGATGGGGTCGATGCCTCTCTGTCTCAGCTTCTTCTTGATGCAGGAATTCCAAAGGTTCTTGATCTCATTGTCGGTCCTTCCGGGCAAATGTACTGCAATCTTCGACCACCTGTTGGCGACCAGAAACAAAGGAGAAGCAGCATCAGAGAAGGCAAGGCCTCGCAGAACATGAAATCCAGAGATGGAGAAAAGACAAAGGGGCTTGTACCTGTTCCCCAGAACCGCGTGGAGCTCAATGATGAGGTCCTCTTCCTGCTGCGAGAATGTGCCTCGCTTGAGGTCGGGCCTCAGGTAGTTTATCCACCTCAATCTGCAGCTCTTTCCGCACCTTTGGAGACCTGAAACTTGTTGAATGAGAAGTGACACGACGCATCATTTCACCTGTCTCCAATTGTTTGCATGGGTGGAGGTATACCTGCTTGTTTGGGGACGGAGCTCCAACACCCATGACCATGCTTGGAAATGTGCTTGATGAGCTTCTCGTCTTCATCAGGAGACCAGAGGCCTTTCCTCAGCTTCTGCTTGTAGCAGCAGGAGTGCCCTCCCATTTGCCACAAGAACCAGAGAGGGATCTTCTCAGAGACCAACCTTGAGAAGATAAGGTTGTTTCCGTGAATTAGGGATGGAGAATGTGGGGGAAAGGGATAGTGTGAGTGTTCAGAAATTGTAGTTGCAATGGAAGAGGAGCTGGAATTGAGAAGAAGGCTGAGCTTAAATGTGTGTGTGTGTGTGTGTGTGAATGGTCACAATCAAGTGGTTGGAATTGAGCTTAAAAGTTCTTCACCCTTTCCTCTCTCTCTCTTCTTTCTTTCTAAAGTGGGAAGAACCCAAGTACCTGAGCTGCACATCTCTCATCATCTTGGTGGAAATGATGTCTGATGCTACCATGGTAAGACAGTCATTCTGATGTCAACTGGACAAACCTCGCAGACATTGAACTTTGCAGTCAATCCAATAGAATGACAAGGTTACATACGCAGTCTTAGAAAGAGCAGCTTTAATCTCTCTCTCCTTAGATTGTGTCCGAAGCAACAACCCGTGCTACCATTCCTGCTGTTCCTTACCTCAAGCAGAACCCCTAGAAAGACAACTACAGACAGGGAAAGGGGGAGCTGGAAAGTGTTCTGAAGGTAAGAAGTAGCCACATTTGGTTTAAAGACAGTCGTATCAAAATAGCAGTAAGCCTTTGTGCTGTTGGAACAAAAAAGAAGGTCGAGAAAATGAGATTATCCACTCGAATTCCCAGTTCCTACATGATTTGGTGTGTCAGGAGGAGCAGGGGCTTGCAAGTCCATGATCACCATGGAAGGCTCCATCCATCCCTGCGTACAAGGAACAAAACCTTGCCTACTTGTTGTATAACAAAGGGCATATTCCTTTATAGTATCGATATCCTTGTTTCTCTTTGAAACTTGCAGGTTAACCTGCCACTTCTCCTCCTCCATCGAGAATAAATGCCATGACCCATCTCTTCCTTTTTCTTCTGCTTTTGAGGCTTCTCACAGGAAAGTAGCAGACGACATCTTTATGATTTCATTCAAGCATTTTTCTTATGGAGACTTACAGCATGAATCTACTAAAATCTTTCTTCAACAACAAGAAACAAGGAAAGAAAAATGCGGCAAAATCATGGAAGCGATATGGTGGACAACAAAAGGAAATAAAGTAATCAAAGATGTGGAGAGTGAGTTGGCAACTTTAATTACTTAGTGTGCATCAATGATTAGAACTGTTCATGCCATGATTGAGGCCATGTGACTCTGAGTAATTACCCATTAAACAAACAAGGGAGGAGGAGGGGTGGAAGCTGCTACTAACAATCATATGGTCATAATTAATGGTTGTGGTTTCTGCTACTAACACTGAGGGTCCCCTCAGTGTGCAAAGCTGCACAGATATCATGATGACTTGTTTCGACGCAGCCAAAATGCACCGAAAACAATTCCAAATTCTGGAAGTTGGAAACTGCATACACCAATAAAAAACCGACACAAGTCACTTGCAACTCATCCATAGGCATCGGAGGAAATGACAATGATTAGAACGCATTGATGTGAGAGATTTACGGTAAGAAACGACTCGTGTGTGATCCGAGATCAATCACATCCGAGCCAGCCCATCGGCAATCAGCACCGCGATTAAGTCGGGAGGTGGCAGCGGGAACGCTGCGTTTGGTCTGATCACCGCGGGTGACCGAATCTGTGGCCGTCGACCGGGCCTCACGGAAGGACGATGGATTGGACGGCCCTGATAGCGACGATCGTGTGGTCCTGACCGCGCCACGTAAAATGACACAATTGTCCCTGGTGGAGATGTATTATGACTATTGAGTACCGGCACGTGATGCGGCACCCGGAGTGCTGTAGTACCACTCCACCACGTTGCTGTGGCACGTGCGGTCTTCTTCCAAGCTTGGCACCAGTACGTGGAACTGTTGATCAACTATTCGAACGTAGTATCTCTTCCGGAGAAACCAATCGTTAAGCCAAGACGTGCTGACTTTGTTCCTTGATTTTGATTGATGATCAAGAGAGCCGATACAAATTAATGACTTTATCTTCTACCTTCTTTGATATAATTCGGATCTCAGAAGCCCCAATATACTAGTCATACACGAGAGAGAGAGATAGAGAGAGAGAGAGAGAGAGAGAGAGAGAGAGAGAGAGAGAGAGAGAGATTGTCCTTTTTTTTTTTTGCTTTTTTTTTTATGGGTTTGATACAAAAACTGTAATACATTTAACAAAGAGAAGCAACCACATCCATGCAGCAACCATGCTAAAAGCAATCTTTGGTAAACCCTACTTGATTGCAACGTTGGGGTGGCCACAGAAGGGGACTAAGTAGATCTGTATCACGGGCAGAGCCAAGTCCCTTTTACATGAAGGGAATGATGTGTGGCTTGCATGCATCAAACTACAAGATCTTAGTATTCTGCTATGAAACGGAGGATATCGTCTGGTCAATTTCACTGTTTTTGGTGTCCATAGCAACGCCCACGTTTTTCAACGCATCAAAACCTTCCTCCTGTGATGGCGTCGCAAGGAAGATGTATTTAGAAGAGCATGTACCCACCACCAACTGCAGCTGTTGTGGCGATTCTGAAGCCACAGATTGTTCATCCTGGCTGAAGAAGATGTGGATTTAATGCACGTAAAGTTCATGCCAACCCAATCAAGGAGGAGGCATACGTCGCCGCCGACAAGAGACCAAAGAGAGAGGTCTCCCGGCCAGTTTCCATGTTTTCTATCTCTCTCTCTCTCTCTCTCTCTCTCTCTCTCTCTCTCTCCGTCATATAGTTAAGAAAACTCGAAGCTACACAAGCTACAAATTTTCTTAAAAGCTTGCAGCTAATTATCTTCAATCTTAAGAAGCATACATAGCACCATTCTGCTAATTGATTCTGGCTTTGGCCCAGTTGTGGTCCTGCCCTTAAAGCCATGGCTCGAGAAAGTTTCAGCTCGAGGACCTTAGTCTTCCACTGCACACCCATCACCCAGGATCGTCTGGTGACTGCGCGAGGCAATCGCCGACAGGGGCGGGTCCGCTGGGGGTCTCCAGTGATCATGGCGTCTCCACTGCCATGCACGCATGTCCGCCATCCACCATTAATGAAAACCTGGTGTGCATGGCATGCGCAAATGCAAAGTCACGCAGGATGAGGATATATATCCAGAGGGAACTGTTGATCGTGAAGCAGTACATATGATGCCCTACACCGACCCTTCAAGGACCCTAATGAGGAGGCATTATCCACTGTAGATTGTCCGGGGAGGAGGAGCTACCATGTGTTCTGTGGCTCTGATAAAAGGTGAAAGTTATGATCGACGGGAAAAGAGCCGAGTAAGACACCCAGAACAATCCGACGGCCACTGTCCTAACGCTGTAGATTCACGAGAGGGGAGAGGTCGATTCAAAGGTAACGTTCTTCTCTCCCGAATCAAGTACACTGCCCAGGTAAGCAATGGCGTAGGATGAGGTGGAAAGCGCATCAATAATTGGGTGATTACGCAACGCCGGGCGGGTCCACTTGTTTTACCTTAACCTCATAATGATAGTTATCACTAATAATTTATTTCTTTGTCCATACATTATTAAATCAGCAAACAATTGGCATTTAAAAGGCTGCCAAATGTATTCATCTCCTAGTTTGTCAAGCAATACCCCCGGTGTATTCATCTCCGAAAACACCTATAGAACAGCAGCCATGATTCATTTGGAACCGGTAGGGATAGCCTGCACATGCAGGTCAAGACCAAAATGCTTAAGCTAAAGTTGATAATAGTATACTCATCATATCTTTATAAGTTAATCTTAGTCTTACCCATTTTCGATGTGGGACTAATCAGGGATGTTACACAATCAAAAATACGAATCAGAGCTACGGAATTCGGAATATTCCTGATTTCCCAACCAAGTCTGTATCGGCGTACACGAAATACATGCAAGCATACGGCCAAAGGGGGTAAGCGGATGAGGACGGGAGACGCTCGGGCTTTACGCGCGACCCCTGGTGGCGCCCCCACCGCGCGTGGGCCTCGGCCGGCTGCGCCACTACGCTTTGCTAGCGGTCCCCTCCCCCCCCCCGCGACGATGGCTGTCCGCCCGAGGTCGCCGCCCTCCTCACCAGCCAACCCGTTCTCCTCCTCTCATTTATTTCGTGCATGGCGACGGGGAATCTTATCGTACGAGGGCGCACGTGGTGGGGCGGCCTCATCCGATTCCTCACGAATCTCCATGCACGGCTGTGATTATCATTGTCATCAGTATTATTCATCGAGTAAACTCGAAGGGTTACAACCAAATCGATTCGTTCCAACTCAATAAATAATACGATGGGAGGTTGATCATCTTGTCCATTGCATTATTCCTAACCATCATTACAGCAGCTCCAAATGAGTACGGGGCTTACAAGAGGACAACGAGGTGATAATAGAGGACGACTGTCACTTACTTGATAACGATGCATTAGTCCTAACCCAGCTGTTTGCTAGCTTTGCGTTAAAGAGCTCGACAAGCACAGTCTGCCAGTTATGGCCCTCCACATACTTGGCTAGAACCATTAGTACTCTCTACTTATAAGCGGTCATGATCTCTTTCACTTTGGACGTCGCTACCTTCATGTCATACACACTTACTTTCTCCGGTGGTGATACTTGTGAGAAACTTCAGCACGCTTCCCCCTTTCTCTTCGAATCTTTGGGCGTATTGGCTTCAGGGTGATCGAACGAGCTGTTATAATTATAAGTATAAAAATCATGATTATATTATTATTATTATTATTATTATTATTATATATATATATATATATTAATATCAAAAATTAAATTTAAATAATAAATATATTAAACATAAGATGTATTTCTTTAGACGCTAAAAGTCTTTATATGATTTGTAAACGTAATGTCGTTAGATCCTGCAGTGATATTGATTTGCAAGAGAATTAGATTTATCTTTTCTTCTCTTTCTATTTTTCACATGATCGTTGTGAGCGATAAATTAGGGACTAAGAAATATAAAAAAGATCTAAATAACTGAGTCATATTCTTTTATAAGTAAAAGTAAGGGGTCTATGATGGTAATTAGGAGAGTTCTTCTGATCAATATCATCTCCTAAGAAATATTGTTATAATTGAACTTTATCGATAAATCAGAATTCAATCATATTTATAATATATCTTACATCATTAGATAGAGTCATATAATCTAACATTCTCTCACTTGAATCATTAAATTGATAAGGTATGAAAAAATTAAAATCAAAATAAATAAATAAAAATTATTTTAAAATAATTTTACTTAATTAAATTCTAAATTTTTGAAAAAAAATATTTTATATGTGCACATGAATTTTATAAAATAGGCCAATAAATCTAATAAACATAATACCATATTAAGTCTGACTATCAATATGAGTCATAACGATTGTATATCATCAGTATCATATGTCTTTCTATGTAATACAACACTGTTAGTCTATTTTAATATAGTCTAAAATGATTCCTATTACATATATTCTATAATTTACATCCCATAAACCTACTATCCTATGATGCTTTGACAATTACCAATCAAATAAAGTTTAGGGGATATGAGTTACAAATAATATTTATTTATTTTTTTAATCTAATTTATGTTAAAATAATTCATTAATAACTATAGTAATTATTACATATTAATCAATATAAAGAAAAACTTTTATGATATAATTTTATCATATAAATAATACCTTTATGCGAAAAATAAATATTATCATATAATTATATATATATATATGAATAATTAAATAAATATCTAAGAATACTAATTAAAATTTTATTTATCACACGTAAAATTTTATCAATAATATCATATGAGAAAATTATAGAAGAAAAATCAGAATTTATAGTTTTCTAAATTTTGTATAAAACCTTTAGACTAGTCAACCATAGTTAATTGGGTAAGTTACGAATTAGGCTACCTAAATTGGGCTCATTGGGCTAACCATTCACCTAATTAGGCCTATCAAAATTAAAATTGATTAAAGTTAGAAATCGAATAAAATTTAATTTTTTACGAATTTGATCAAAAACTTGATTGATTGAATCAAAATCCAATCAAGTAGTCAAAAATATAATCATAATCAAGGCTGATCCAAAAATTTAATTAAATAAATCATATTGGATAATTTCATAATTGATAAGTAAAAAATTTAATTATTGAAGGGTAAAACTATAATTTTATTTGTGATATATAATAAAAACATTTGATTTCTAAAGTGCAAAATTATTAAAGTTGAATTTATGGACACAAATCGAAATTATCTAATTTCTGAGGTGTAAAAATACCTTTTAAAAACCCTAAGGCCTCTCTTGCTACCATTGTTGCGTTCCACCTTGCCCACGTGCACGGGTCTCATTGGTGGTGCACTGACTACATGCTACTTGCATGTCACCCGTGGTGGCACTACTTGTGTGTTGATTATGGCCATCACGACACCGCCCACAATCCATAATAAGGCAACCTATCTCTTTCTTAACAGACAACGTAGCTTTGCCACCCATGGTGAGGTTGTCGCCCATAGCTAGCTAGCGATACAACCCGCTAGCCACCACCACCATTTCCTTTTTAAGCTATGCAACTGTTGGGAATCTATGGTCTATGGCATCTAATTAATGTTGTTCATGGCCAACGAATGCCATAGCAGTAGGTAGCCATGTATATGGTTGTCATTGGTTGTTGCACCCTATGGTGCTTTCGTTGAATATGCAACCATTGCCCGTGGCTAGATTAGCGACCATCGGAGGTCGTCATACTCAATAATACTATGATGATAGCAAATTATCAACAATGGTCTATCGATTAAACACAAAGAACCTCACACCACCCGCAAGTAGGCAATATAATGTACTAGATAAAAAAGTAAATTGATAATACATACAGATCATTTAAGCGTCGTAAATCAAAACCGAATAACACTTTTTTACAAGCAAAGGGTGCTAACAAACTGATCTAAGTATAAAAATAGATCTAAAATACTTTACCGATCAAAGGTATTTGATTTCAAAGTATAGCTTTGATACCAATTGTAACTATAAAATTATGATTATGCTAAAAACTTTAATACTAGAAATTAAAATTAAATAACAATAGGTCAAATATATAATGCGTATCTTTTGATGCTCAAAAAGCTTTATCTAATTTGTAAGTATATTATCGTTGGATCCGAAAGTTACAACGATATCGATTTGTAAAGATAAACTAGATTCATTTTTTTTTTTCTATCCTTCGTTGGATCCCTATGAGCGATGTTTTATGGTGTGTTATGGACTATGGGAGACGAGAGAATATCTATAATTTCTGCATAATTAATTTTTTTTTTCTATAAGGTCTTATCGTTTTATAGACGAGAGCAAATGATCTTCGATAGTAATTAAGAAAGTCCCTCCAATCAAGATCATCTATTAAAAAATCTTATCATAATTAACTTTTTTATTAATCCATAACCATAATCATAATCTAATTATATATATATATATTGCCTAACTATCATAAAGCACATGTAACAGTGGAAGATGATACTGATGTCTCATCACGTCTTACATCAGCGGCAAACATATCCCTGATGAACAAGCGATTGTAAAGCAGTGCACAAACAAGGTTCTATATTCTTGGAACAGAACACTAGTTATGTTTTGGTTTATGATATAGGTAGCCGCTTCAATGATTTCCAAGGATTTGCATAGCAATTATTGAAGTCCTTCGACTTCCCTCTCCCGAGATTTTTGTAACAATAGTTGCGTCCTGTACTTGATGCACACACTGTTTTCTTCCCCTATCATCTTGTTATGATCCAATATCTAAATAAATCTAAATTATTTAAGATCTGTAGCAACCTCAACTACTCTATTTTTGTCAGTACCATCATTATTATTTTATATTTCATGTCAATATAATATTAATATTCTATTGTTAAAAGAGAACCTGTAACACTTAATTGGTAATACTTTTACTTAAGTGTTATCTCCACTTAAGTAGTTCCACTAAATATAACAGTGATGTCTTGACCTTTATCACCTTGCCGTCTCATGGATTTAAATATCATTCCTCGGAATTCAACATTCCGAAACCCGAACCTTAGCACTACACTGATGATATGTTGTTCTCTCAGCTGGAGAAACACATCAGTGTCAGGCATGCAAGGGGGTGAAGACAATGGGAAGCCCATACTGGGGCTGCAGTGTCAACGACTCCACAGGTGCATGCACGTACTTGGGTGATAGAGAGAAGGAGAATCGCTGCAGAATCATGGCCATCACAGTCTTGGCTTCCAACATGGCGAAGTTCTGGCCGATGCATGCTCTTGGCCCGATCGAGAACGCGAGCAGCGCGTTAGGATGCGAGGCGGCCTTGGAGATCCCATTCTCGAATCTGAGCGGATTGAACTCGTTTGCATCCTCTCCCCAGATCTCCTTGCTCCGGTGAATCATCAGTACAGGTATCATCACCGCAGTGTCTTTCGGTATGCTTATGTTTCCCAGGATCATGTCTTTTCCTGCCTTTCTCGCCATCTGAACGACTGGCCCGTAGAGTCTTAGGGTTTCCAGGAGAACCATGGTGACCTGCAGCACGAGCCATGGCTGGTTCACTTCTGCTTCGACATGGGGGGAAGAGAGAGAGAGAGAGAGAGAGAGAGAGAGAGAGAGAGAGAGAGAGAGAGAGAGAGAGAGAGAGAGAGAGAG